ACTGGGGTGGGGCCACTTAGAGCGACAGCCAATCGACTCTCTGCTGTTCTTGGATTTATGAGGGCTTTATCTCAATTTCTGATTCCCAAGTTTTTATTATCCTGGAACAATTTAGGTAATTGTTTCACTATATTGAATAGGTATGGAAAGAGTGGATATCCTCATCTTGTTCCTGATTTAGTGGTAATCTTTGACTTTCTCTCTGTTTAGGATGAGTTTGACTTTGTGCTTGCTGTAACTTGCCTAGGCTTTCCAGGACTTTTATCATGAAGAGATGCTGGATTTTGTCAAAGGCCCTTTCAGCAAATGAGATGAGCATGTGGTTTTTGTCTTTCAGTCTGTTTATGTAGTAGATTACAGTTTATTGAACCAGCTCTGTATCTCTGTGATGAACCCACCCCTATCACTCTCTGGATAATCTTTTTATGTGTTCTTGAATTTGGTTTGAAAGTATTTTTATTAAAAATGTTTGCACCTGTGTTCATAAGGGATATTGGCATATAGCTTTCTTTTGGTAGCATCTTTGTGTGGTTTTGATAAACAGAGTACAGAATTAGAAAATGTTCCTATATTTCTATTTTGTAGAATAATTTGAGGAATATTGACAAGCTTCTTTGAAAGTCTAGTAGAATCCATTTTGTGTTGGATCCATCTGGCCCTGACAGAAACAAAATTTTGGCTTACAGAAAAAGAAATAAATGTTTAAAAAACTAATAAATGAGCCAGGGGATTCAAGAAGAAGTCGATCTCAGGTATGCATTCCCTGCCTAACAAATTATATACACACACAGAGACACACAGACACATAGACACACACACACACACGCACACACACACACACACACACACACACACACAAATGCTTCTGCAATGATATCTGTCCAGCAACTGCCTGCCTCGCCTTGGACCAAGGTAACTCTGGCTATTGATCCATAGATAAAGCCAGGACTTTTTGCTTTAAGAATGCCATCTTGCTTTACTATATTCAGACCTGAATACACTTGGACTTGGTTATATCACATCTATTTCTATTCAGTTCTACTTCTGAAGAAGTAACCTTTGGTGACCATCTGGCACTTTGATGGTCATTTTAAGTTGATATTCTTATTAAAGAAATGCCTTAAAGGGAGGTTGGCTTAAGTTAGAGTGTCATTCACAACTCTCCACTGAAAAATTAAGAATTCATCAACATCATTTATTGTCTCACTGGTTTTAAGAATATTTTATTGCATGGCGTGAATGTGGTGGTCAGTGGACTGCTGGCGGGAGTTGAGTCTCTCCCATCACTGGAGATCAAATTGGTTATCAGGCTACGAGGGATGTGCCTCTCCCTGCCCCAGTCATCCCAACAGCCTTTGTTTGTTAACTTTATACTGTGTGTGAGGCGGAGAAAACATTTAGCCTGCAGTCTCAGGTACATAAATATCTTCTGATTCTTTGTCTTTTCGAGTGGTGGGTTTTGACTGATTTAAATGGAAAATAAACTGGATTGTGGCTGGGCACCATGATAGATATCTCAGGTAGCCAAGTGCTCCCAGAAAGATGATAGACAATGATGTGGTCTAGAAACCAGGATGGAGTCTGGGAAGCATTTCCTGGTTAGCTTTGGGGATGGGAAGCATTTCCTGGTTAGCTTGGGGATGGGTAGCATTTCCTGGTTAGCTTGGGGATGGGAGATGATTTTGTTGGGTCAGAAGTCCTAATGCCTCTCCTCCACTGGTTATCACACATTCACACATCCATTTGGGTTTGTTTCTGGCTGGGGATGTAGTTCAGTGGTAGGTCACCTGGCTAGCATCCCACAAGGCCCAACATCTCTTTACAAAGTAACGCTGAGCTTTGCGAGTGTTGTGGACTGATTTCTTTTCTTCCTCTTCTCCAAGCTGTACCACTCAGCGCTCCCGAACCCTTTCTTCCAGTCAAATGGCTCTCACACCTTAATGTGCACACTTGTCACCCCAAGAACTTGTTAGAAGGTTCTGGGACCTCCCTTTGTGAGCTGGAAGCGGGGCAGGGCTCATTAACTTACACGTCTAAAGAGCACCATATTCAAGGGAGGCGGGTCAGTGTTCTGAAAGCCTGGTGCTGTCCTTTCAAAGGGTGGGATAATCTCAAATACTCTATGCTGTCCACTCTACAGAAGTCCCTCAGGCAAGCTGATGGCTCACCCCAGCCCTGGCTAGACTGGGTATGGGATGATGTGGGCTCAGGGAGAATAAATTTGTGTTTCAAAGTTAATATTAACATTTTGGGATTACAAAATTGGGTCCTACTAATAAAATGTCCCTGATCACATTTATATGTAGACTCTCTATTAGAAACTGTTAAGTTTTTTGTTTGTTTGTTTTTTGAGGAAGGAAAAGGTGATTATAAATGAACATAAAATCCATTTTCCTAGGCAGGAACCTTTCATAATAACTGTAGGGAGGGATGACTTTTAGATTTGTATTTTTACAACAGAAAAATACAATCACCTTCACACCTCCATTAAAAAAAAAGGACTTCAATGAATAATCATTGTTTGTGGTATTGGTCCTACTCTGAGTAAAATTTCTCTGAGCTTAGTTTCATTTTAGAGACATTTAACATGTTTGCTTTTTATTTTGGACACCTAATGCGCTTGTAGGAATTTATTTATTTATTTTTATTTTATTGCTATTAGCTAATAGAGCATAACAAACCTAACTAAATCTGGATTGGTAGCACTAACAGTCTCTTTGTCTGTGTTCAGGCTGTGGGAATGTGTATTGGGGAGGAACAGAGAGCTAAGGACGTGTGGGAGCGCAAAGATCCTGTCTTTCTAGGCTGTGACAGGGTGCTGGTCGAAGGCTCTGAGCACCTGACATCTGTGGGGGTGTCAGAAGAGAACGGTGAGCTTCCACTGGGTTATACACAACCCAGAAAATCTAGGCTGGCTACTGAGAATTGGGACGACTCATTTCAAGTCAAGAGTCCAGGTCCACTGTGGGTCCCGATGGAGTAGACTTTAGTATAGAGCAAGGTAAGCCCAGCCCTTCAATGCTCAATAAATACTAATGAAAGAGCTCATAAATGTGGCACTAAATCACAGAAACGGGTAATTTGGCAATGTTGGTCATGAGGCCATAAACTGGGACACTATCAAACATCTTTTTGAGGAACTGAATCAAACTATAATTAGGTAAGTCCAAGCCCGGGGAAACTATTTTCATAGTAACCTATTTTTTTTTAAAGTTGCTAACAAGTTCTTTAGTTTTATGAACATGGCCTGTGTCAAGAAATGATGGAGATCTGGGTGTGGTGGTGCATGCTTTTAATCCTAGTGCACAGGAAGAAGAGGCAGGAGGATCTCTGTAAGTTCAAGGCCAAGTTGCTCTATGTATGGAGGGCTACCTAGGGATATAATGAGACCCTATCTCAAAAGAAGAAGGAGAAGAAGAAGAAAAAGAAAAAAAGAAATCATAGTGAACCCCAATTCCATTCCCCTCTAGTTCTCCATGATGCATTTTTCATGTTTCTCTGAACCCCTTTGGCCCCGCGTATCTGTGATGCTGACTGCAGTATCCTTCCTTTGCATTGCCAAGCCATCTGAGTTAAGAATACATCACTGGTATCCAAGACAAAGATAATATAGCCGTGTGTGTGTGTGTGTGTGTGTGTGTGTGTGTGTGTGTGTGTGTGTGTGTGTGAGAGAGAGAGAGAGAGAGAGAGAGTTAAGTTTTTAGCAGTCACATGAAAAGACAAAAAAGAAACAGATGGAATTTGTTTTATTAATGCATTTTATTCAGCTCAACATACCCCAAATATACCAACATGTAAGCAATATAAAACTTTTGAGATAATTACAATTACTTTGTGCATATGCTTGATATGCATTTCATACACACAGCACATTTCTGTTAGGATTTGTTTCACTTCAAGTACTCAGAAGCCACATTGGCTTATTGAAGAGTGCAGGACCAGATAAATGCAAAAGGGTTTCTTAAGACATCACTACTGTGTCTAATAAGAGTGTATTATTTGTTGATAGACTCCAGCCAGCTATACCTTGATGTCCCGCACAAGCAAGATCTTAAAAGGCCTGTTCTGACATGTGCTGAAGACCCAAGCTTTGACTTCAAGTGTCAATCATTTTCGTTTCTACGATTTTTATTTATCTAACATCGCCTGCTTGTGAAATAGAATTCTCTAACAGATGACCCAAAGGGACCCATGAACATTTTGTCAATTATGAGGTTGGGTATTTAATGAAATGCTGATGTAAAGACTGTCTTATTCTTGTGAAACAAGGCAGCATCCTACATAACCTGTAAAGGTGCAGATTTGTAAATGGTTGTTAGAAGCTCATAAACAGGGGCCATAATCTGTTAAGTTCCTCCGCTCACCACTCTAGGCCATTCAGTGATTATAGGTTGTCTTAGCAAGGTCTTATGCAAGGCTTACCCTGTGGGAAGCTTCCTTTCCCGCAAGTCTGTGAACAGCATGGCTGACCTGGAAACAAGGAACATGTGTCCATTCACTTATTCTCATGCAATGAGCCATACTGTCCCATGGCTAATTAGAAGAAAAGCCAAAGTTCTTTACTGAACTTAATGAATTTTTAAACATTGTTGTTTTAAGCTCAAGGTCCGTTTCATGAGTTTGGGAGTAAAATAGCAGAACAAGCAAGCTGTAAGCCACCATAGCAGCCAGAAGGGAGATGGAGGGGAGAAAGAGAAAAAGCTATGTTGATTGTCTTCGACTGCCATGTTTAACAAGGGAAGTTCTCGAGCAGTCGCAATCAGTATTAAAAACACAGCCAAAAAAAAAAAAAAAAAGAACACAGCCAACTTCTTCACTTACTCTCTGGAAACAAATGTCTAATGCCAGGCTGACAAATATATATCCTTTGTGTAAATGTGTTAAAATTGCATTTCTAAGAAGTTGTTCTGCTTACAATATCATCATTTATTGCCATATAATTGCTCATGTTATTCCCTAAAATCCTTTTTGTTTCTGTAAGTTTGGTAGTGATGTCTCCCCTTTCAGTGATAATTCAATAATTTTATTTTTTTTCTCTTTTTGGCAGTATAGCTTCTGTTTATCTTCTGGTTTCATGGATTTTTTTCTCTTGTCTGATTTGCTTATTTCTGTTGTGTATTTTGACAAGTTCTGGTTGCTAGTTGTCATTATTTGTTTGTTTTTCTTTCTTTCTTTTTTGGACAGGGTAATTCTGCATGACCTGGAATTTTATGTGGACATGGTTGACTTTGAACTCACAAAGACCTGCCTGCTTCTGCTCTTCCTCTATGTTTTTTTTTAAAAGATAACATCTGGTAGGTTATTGATTTGATATCTTTTTAGTAAAGACAATTAAAACTGTGTATTTCTCATTAAGTACTGCTTTAATTGTAATAGTTTAGTTTTTGTCATTTTTTAATTCATTGTATTTTCTTTTCGGTTGTGTTTTGACAGAGGGCATTATGTAGTCCAAACCTGATATGTAGTTGAGGATGTCCTTGAATCAGGAACTTCCTAAGTCTACCTCTCAAGTGCTGGGAGGAACCACATATCACCACACCTGGTTCATTTTGTTGTTCATTGCAAGGTATTTTCTGATTTTCCCTTTTAAAAAAATTGATACATTGATTTTTCGTTTTTAAAAAATGATACTTGATACATTGATAGTTTAGGAATAAATAGTCTCACATATAAATTTACCAAACTATTTCCATTTCTTGTTTGTGTGTGTGTGTGTGTGTGTGTGTGTGTGTGTGTGCACTCCCATGTTTGTATTATCCTGTGTATGTATGCTATGTACATCAGGGGGGTATACATGTACATTTGAGAGTGTGGGTGTGGGGGTCTGAGGAAGACATCAGATACCTTTTTTTCTCATTGTTCTCCAACTTTTTTGAGACAGGGTGTCTCACTGAGAAGCTTGTCCGTTTGGCTAGGCTAGCTGCCAATGAACTTCAGGATCACCAGGAACGCCTCATCCGTCTCTCTCCATCCATCAGCCCAAGGCTGGAGTTACAAGTGTGCTCCACTATGCCGAGCACTTTATGTAGGTTCTTGAGATCTGAATGCAGGTTCTAGTACCTTCACAACAGACACTTTGTTGATCCAGGCATCCACTCTCTCCTCGAATATGAACTATTGACCGAGGGTAATAAACACGTGTCAACACTGGGCAGCCAAGTGCAGCACAGATACCACCCTGGTGGGGGATGTAGTAGAAGAGGGATGTGCATATGCCAGAATGGGGGAGCTGGGGACTCTGCACCTTCTCCTCAGGTTTGCATTTAGTATAAAAATGCTCTTAAAAAAGAAGAAATCTTCAGAGAAACCTATTGGAAAGTACCGTGTGCTAGGGCAGTATACTTAAAAAATGTGGTCTGTGCTTGGGGTACTGATCAGTAGATTGTTTGTTACTGTGAGATAAGGTATTTGTTCTAGATGTAAATCAGTCTATTGTTTCCTGTACTCATAGAGTCTTTCCATAAAAAGATAAACAGTTGCAGCTTGCTCCTGTGGCTCTTGTGTGTAGGAGACGTCGTCTGAGAAGGTACAAAGCGGGGTCTGGCAGGAGCATACTCACAGGCTGTGGTACAGAGATATTCTTCTAAGAAGCACCGAGGAAGGGGAGCTTCCTGGAGGGAAAACACGTGCTGCTTCCAGGAAGCAGTGAAGGCGATGGGAACTTGAAATGCTGGTTAAGGTTTTGACAATATGTAGAGAAGGAATGGTATTTGAGAGAAACACAACCTAAGCAAAGGTCTGAAAAGGTGAAAATAGAGGTTGTAGTCAGAGACCAGGAAACAGTTTTAAATGGAAGTAAAACATAAACGGTTAAACACAGCGAAGAGAAGTCAGGAAGAGTTTGAGGGCAGACTAGATAAGGCTTAGATCCTATGCTGTGAAGTTTGCCTTCTGATTGGAGGACAACAGGAAGCAGAAAATGACACGGTTCAACTGTGATTTAAAATTAACCTTGCACCACGAAGGGAAGCCATCTAAAGAGACGGGACCTGGAGCGAGAGGCTCATTATGATGCTACTTAAACAGTCAGGGCCCAACTGGAGGGACAGAAATGGGCCTGAAAACAATGGCAACACACAAAACTGTGATGACGTGAACACGGATAGGATTTGAAAACATGAACAAGGGAAAGAAAGGGCATCTGGAAGGATGAACACACAAAGCCAAGCTGGATATGGGGCATGAAGAACTGGTTGGGTGGGAAGATAATGGTTTTGACTTGGCTTGAGCTTGAGGCACTTGGCAAGACATCCAAGTAGAAATGTACATAGATAGTGTAGGTCAACAACGCCTGAGAGACATGAGCTTCTGGGCAGCCAGCCATGAGGAGATGGCCAGAGAGCTCAGAAAAAGAAGCTATAGGAGAGAGGAAAAGCCTATTCGCCAGGGGAGAGCCCTGGAGGTGCAGTGGGGGATGGAGTGGAGATCAGAGAATGGAAACGAGCTGGTGAAAATGATTGACAGACAAAGGGGATAAAGACCCCCCCAAAGAACAGGACACCCACAGAGGGGCAGGTGCAGAAGACAATGGCTAGCCGTTGCTATGGGGGTCAGATTGAGTACTGGCTGTAACATTAGGGCCACCAGGCTTAAGTCACCTTGGCTGTTTGAGAAGGCTCATGATGGGTAATCCCAAACAGCTGGATGGAGGGAAACACATTCCTTCCTGGAGCACAGGTTGACACCAAGGAAGCAGGGGAGTTAGAGAAGACAAGCTGCAGGGTAGAGGAAGTAGTTGAGGCCATGAGTCTGCAAAAAATGAGCTAAGAAGTTAACGTTGGTGCAGAGACGTGCCCCTAGAACCGTGGTTCTCAACATGTGGGTCGTGACCCCTTTGGGGTTCAAACAACCCTTTCACAGGGGTTGCATATCAGATATCCTGCATATCAGATGTTTACAATTTGTAACAGTAGCAAAACTACAGGTTTGAAGTAGCAACGGACATAATTTTATGGTGGGAGGCGGGGGGAGACCACAACATGAGGAATTGTAGTAAAGAGTCTCAGCGTTAGGAAGGTGGTAAACCCCAGAAGGAAGGAGGTGTGCTGCTTTCTGTAATGCAGGGGGAAAAATGTGAGTGTGAGCAGGGTGCACAGTCAGTTTCACAGCAAGGACAAAAAGCTTGTAGAGTAGGAAGTGAGGTCATTAGAAATAGGGAAGAGGCAGGGCCGGAAGTAAGGGAAAATATTGACACACCTGCTAGGAATGAAAAAGAGTCTGCTTTAATGGGTAAACACAGTTCTGAAGTCCATCAGAGGCCTAGCTGGGTCAAAAACCCAGGAGTGTTTGGTGAAACCTAAAGACAAGGATGTAGTGACATCACTAAACCCAAGATAAATGATAAATGGGTGTTTATTGGGGAACAATTACACAGAAAAATACAAAGAACTGTGGGAGCATTTCCCTGCTCTTCGTGCCAGATCCACTGACCGACCAGAAAGACCAGGCCAAGGAAAGCCATGCCTCAAGCTTCCCTCTTTCTGCTTCTACCTGAAGCCACACCCAAAGAGTGTGTGACCATCATTAAGTTCACTGCAAGACCTCTACAGAAACCAGTTGGTAGATTGCCAAAATAAAATGTAGCAAACATATAGTGGGAACCTGATTCAAGCCAAGCCAAGCCACAAAGAACTGGTCCAGACTGTATTCATTATTGTATTTCTAAGACTCACAACCGTGTACATTTGCTTGTGATTTTGAGGAGGTGTCAGTGCAGGCTTACGTGCTTTCAGGTCGCTGTTGTATGCACATGGGGCCAGCGATCACAAGCAAATGTATACTTGTACGTAGAACATCCCCTTCAGGGGCCAGGGACCATGGCTTGCTATTGCCATTGATTGTATCTCATGGTCCTTATGCTACAGGAGGGGTAAATGATAAGATGACTGATGGGGAGCATTAGTGAGGGATGCTAAGATGGGTCCCAGAGCTCACCGACCTCTTCTGACCACCACCTTTGGCTTGAAGGCTCTATTTTGGTCTTGTGGCCTTCCCTGGGTTACCAAGCAATCTAGGGCACTTTTGGACACTCTTCCCTTACTCCTTTACTTAGTGACAGATTTTCACGGAGTCTGGTGCCGCTCTCAACCATTTCCAGTTTTCTCCTCCTTATGACTCAGAGATCCTTCCATCATTCACCTCCTCGTGGGGTACGATTCTCCAAGGACCTGGATTGGCATACCCAGAGGTTAAAGAGGGGTGGAGGTGGTATCAGGTGTGGGTTTCGGTAGTCTTCTATTACTCTAGCACACTTGGAGATCAGCAAAGTACCTTTAGGGAATAAGAGGATACATGCATGAATCTGCTTCCCCTAGGAAACGCAGCCTGGAAAGCAGAGATGGAAGGAAAGCTCAAGTCGAGAACAGCAGAGCTACTCTCCCACAGCACTGTTCCTTGAACCCACCCTGAGAGAGGGAGGCTGGGTTAGACAGCTACCAGCATTCAGGACATCTGCTGTTGTGAGCGGAATAGTTCTAGGGGGACTAGGGCTGGAGGTGGGCCGAGCAGAGACAGCAGCACCAGCCTTCACGGCTACCCCTGGGAAACACCAGTGCTATTACCCCCTTCTTTAGTCACCAACACTTGGAAGTTCTGTTCTGGGAGGTGACCCTCTCCTTCCTCCTCTCATTTCCAAAGATGAGGAGATGAGAGGTGGTCTGTGTAAACTAAAGCTTAACCGACGAGTCTGTTCTTATTAGGAGGTAAGCAGAGGGGTATCTGTTAGGGTGCGCTTGGCCCAAGTCCACTTCCTGCTCTTCCGGTGGAAGCTTCTGCCTCTTTTGCTTTGTATACATCGAATTCTTAACTGGATAGTCTTGACAAACGCCACTCAGGCTGTTTTCTTTTCCTGTGGCCACAGGTCGGGCTAGTAACTCAAGAGTCTTCAAAGTGAGGCTTTCTCTCAGATCCCTCAGATCCTAAACTAGAGCAAGACAAAACTGCAAAACTCTGGGAAGGATTCCTTGAGGGGCTGGAACTCCGGAGAGGCCCTTCCTTAGCCCATGTGCAGGAATTTGACTCCTCTGTTCGGCCTTCAGAAGCCAGAGGCTCTAGCTTTCTTTCAAGTCTATGGCCATGGCTGAAGCCTCCACTGTTCCTTTGCTTGGGTTAACCAGATATGGTTTCCACTTCCCTAGTTGTACTCCATATTTCAGGGTGAACCCCAGAAAGGGATGACAAGGAGACACCGATGTTTATGTGTCTAGACCAGATGTCTCATGATCATGATCATGGTGCCATTGTTGCCGTTGTCATCATCATCATGGTCATTATCATGGTCCTCCTCTTCATGGGTAAATAGACCTTGCCCAGAGTTTCATAATTAGGAAGTGGCAGGGTTGAGACACATAGTCAGCCCTGTCTGACTCACCAATGCATTGCTGGGATCTCCAAGCACCCTTGTTTGGTTGCTATCTTTAGGTTAGGACTCTAGCTTCTTCACTTATACTCTGTGAGATGTGGGGCCTGGAGCTTCCAGAGCTCCAATTCTATACTTGCAACATGATACTATCAGCATGCCTGCCTTCTAGAGCTGCTCCTTGCCTTCTCAGCCCTCCCCCTCTCAAATGCAGATTGAAAATAGAATGTAATAATTTCCTCAGGTGGGCATGGTGGCTCTCATTTATAATCTCCAAGATGGGAAGGTGAGGCAAGCTGGATTGCTGTCTGGGCTACATAGTAAGTTCTATGAAAGCCTGGGCTGCAGAATAAGATGTCAAAAGAAAGAAAGACAGAAAGGAAGGAAGGAGATGGATAGATAGATAGATAGGTGATAGATAGAAAGAAAGATAGATAGATGTCTGGATAGATGGATGGATAGAGATTATTCCCTCCGTGCTTAGTATGTACTAGTCCATATTTTAAGCATTGTGGTGTGTGTATGTGTGTGTGTGTGTGTGTTCATTCAATTAGCTTCATAACATTCTGATGAAGTAAGTGCTGTGTTGCTCTATCTCACAAGGGAGGAACTTAAAGCCCTGACAGACTTGAGTGGTTTAGTCAAGGTCACACAGACAGCAAAAGATAGGTCCTCTCTGTGACAGGGTTCAGTTGATATAAAGGTAAGGTTTCTAACTCTGTCACATTCCTTCATGTCCTTTCACATAGGACCAATGACTATGCGAGAGGACTTGATTGACAATGGAGTATCATTTGTCCTCTCAGGATTTAGGCAGAGTCCTGGGGTTGTGAGACAGTTTGCTGCAGCTCATGCACCTTAGCTCCAACAGGAGTTTTCCATGGCCATCCTTGCAGAAAGCCTTTGACTGAATTTGTTGGACACTAGCATCACTTGGAAGACATAGCTCCAGAGCATTCCTGAAAGGCAGCAGAAGAGGACCTCTTGGGCCTGTCTTCTTGAATGAGAGATAGCCAAGGAGATGGTTTCTGTTGTTTGTGGGCAGTAGTGAAAGGTTGGCTATTTACAGGGGTCTGGAACGTAGAAGATTAACAACTTAAAGTTCCGGGAATGTTAGCTTG